TTTCTCTAAAGAGCTGAAACAAACGGCAGAATAAACGAAAATCTGTTGTCACTTGGTTATTTTGACTGAAATTTACTTGCGTTTGCAGGGATGTTACATTACTTGGTCAGTAGTTTCCTGAAGCCCGAGAATGCTTTCATCAGCCTCCCTTAATTTATTTTTACAGAGTCTTGGACAATCATTTTTTAATCGGATCCTGAGGTCAAATTTCGCGTCTTTTCCTTTTTAAAACACACAAGTGCTGTCTTTTTGTAGCACTCAAAATTTGCACTCTCGATGTCGTAATTGGTGTTAGCATAATATCAAACCCTAATAAAAATGTAATAATTTATTTTTATTTTCTAACTACACTGTTTTGCATGTACCTAGAGGATTTAACATGCATAATTCTGGTAGCCTGTGAGAATCGATATCGTGAATCTGTGTTCAGGCATTCATTTCCCCATGGCTGTTTTGAACGATGATGAAATTATGCCTTATTTTTTCATTTGTACACCTGCCGCACTTCATGGCTGAAAATGTTTGTTGGCAATGAATAATAAATAGTACCAATATGTAACTTTCTAGGATGAAGTCAACAGCGAAATATACTTTTATTTTTGGAATTCCATGAATGAAATAAAAGGACGATAGCAGCACGTTACGTCTCAAATCAATGTTATTGCTTTTCATGCTAGAGGAATCATGAAACCTGGGCTCAATGCAATTATTGGACCTACTGGTTGTGGAAAAACGACGTAAGTAAATTGCACATTTAACATGTTATTTTCCATCCTAACGACAACATTACTAATCAGAATAGATTTGGCAGCATATCATGTCGGGGACCTGAATATTTGTGAGCATCCGACGTTTGAATTCTCTTACTTTCATAAGTCTTTTAGACATTTTGGCCGGTCGTAGCGATCCATCATTGGTGTCCGGTGTTGTCCTTGTGAATGGCAAAGATCGACCACCTAACTTCAAGAGGACCTCAGCTTACGTTAGTCAGGTCAGTAACTAAGTGAAACATGGAATAAATTAGGCTGATTTTTAACACCTAACCTATCAAAACCGTGGGGGAAATCTGAGTTATTGTAATTTCCGCAATGAGTTTTAACACTATGCACATTTATCGGTTATGTATTACTGGATGATTGCCACGCTTTCGTTTTATTTTTTTTACACTAGTGAAGAACGTAGTGACATTAAACCCAGTCAGCTTCACATAGCCATTGGATTATTTTTCTGGTTTTTTTTTCACTCTATCATCTAGCTTTTGGATATCACGTGAGGTGTTTCACTTGTGTGCTGGTTACCCCAGGCTAGTAATCATGAATTTTGGTTATGCAATTTCATATCATTTTCAATTTTGCCACCAGTTAATTTTGCTTGTGGTGGGATGAAGATTCATGATGTAATTATCTTGCTAGTTTGGTCTCTATTAATTGACTTATTCTGGGAACGATAGTCATTGAGACATCATAAACATGTTTTCGACAGTAGTATGTGTCGAACAGAACAGTTAGTCTTAAAAGCAAAAAAATTTGGTGGCTCAATGAAATTAATTCGTTTCATCACACAAGGACCAGAGCTGACAGATAAAAATATGTAGTTTGATGCATTTGGAGAAAGTAAGGAGCGTAATTTCCCACAAAAGAAAGATGGCTTACTTTAAATGGGCCGTGTTTTGCCTCTCGTAAAACACCTCGCTAATATTCACGGACAATCCTAAGACTCTCCGTCTTTTTATATGCTTGTGGTCCTGTTTGGCAGAACTCTCAAGCCAATTAATGCTCTTTTAGGACAATTTTGCAATGGGATCACTTACTGTGCGCGAAAATTTGTACTTCTCAGCAGCCCTTCGATTGCCAGTGTGGGTGTCTCACAAGGACCGCGAGGCTCGTGTTACAGCTCTTCTGACAAAATTGGGTCTTATCTCTGTTGCCGACGTAAAGGTGAGCAGTTTTTGCAAATTAGAGTACCACTGTAGTGCGGACCAGATCTCATGAATAGACCCGAAGTGGACAGTGCCCCTCACATGTGCTCATACTGTCGTTCTGTTAAATACTTTATGCAAATTGAAGAAGAGTTGGAAACCATTCATGCTCACAAAAACAGTGTATTTTGCAAAATCAATTAATTGGTCGAGTGTGCGTTGATCACCAAGATCAACTTAGTGAGATTACTTTGCAATACTGCAAAATAATCGCCTACTGGCCCGTTGGAATTGATTTTGGGTAGAGTATGCAAGATTTCCATGATGCGTGTGTGTGGCTCAAATCCGTTATATTTCCTAGAACTCTGACATCTTCTTCAGGTTGGTACGGAGTTGGTGCGTGGCATCTCTGGTGGGGAACGCAAAAGAACCAACATTGGAATCGAACTGATAACGGATCCGTGTATCATTTTTCTCGATGAACCCACCACTGGCCTAGATACGTTTACAGCCTCTAAGCTGATGAAGCTACTAAAGAGGTGGGTCCACCAACTTTTTTACCAAGTAGCAACACGAAAGGCACACTGCAGCCACGTTGTGTTTCAGTGAACACGTATCCGCGACTTCCATTTAATGCTGCCATTACCGAAATCAAACTGAGTGCCTGGTGGGTTTGTACCTTGTGTTAAAAAGAGTACTCTCACGGGTTGAATAGTGGCACAATTTTGATAAAAGACCACTACGCGTTTAAGGGTCGCCTGCATCTTGTTTAGCCTTAGTGCTGAGGGGAAGACCATCATTGCCTCGATCCACCAGCCCAATTCCTCCATCTACAAACTCTTTGATTCTCTCACCCTCCTCTGCAACGGCTACGCCATCTACAACGGGCCGATAGCAAACGACGCTCCCATAAATTTCTTTCGTGGTCTAGGTGAGTTCTTCTGCTGATCAAAGGCGCATCGCACGTGTGCTAGCAGCGAGATAATTGGAAGCGTAAATGAATATCGCCAGAACAACACGCGCATAACACTTTCGTTTAAAGTATTTATGAAATCTTAGTTTGAATGCTTGGAGTGCATTATTCGCTTTTATTTTCATGCATTTCCTCATTTATTAACAAGATTTCACCTCTTTTTGATTGAAGTAGACTTCTGAAACAATGTGGGTTGTCATTAGTCCCAAAAGTTTTCTGTAACAAGAAGACAAGGAAGCAACTCACTTATCAAGTATGTTTGGCGAAATTTTAGGCTACAAAGTGAGTGCTCGCGAAAATCCTGCTGACTTCTTCATTGACTTGTTGTACCAAGACCTTCCCGAGGAAGCCAGAAGTCAGCTTCAAAGCGGTGAAGATGAAGGTGCGAAAATAGACGTCCCCACGGGTATTTATTTGTAATCAAATGTCCTTAATGAGCAATACCGAGTCAGCAGGCAGCAGAGAGCCGTTATTAGCACTCTCTTAGGGTTACTCACCTAAAACCCTGGCTTAGCACCTCATGTCTTGCTTCTCAAGTCGGCTCAATTCAACGCTGTTTACGAATCCTGTGATTCTAGTTCCCCAAGGTGTTTAAATAGTCACTCTGACTTATTTTGCGGGTCATGTTACTTTATAAGTCTCCTCAAATGTGTTTGTTTTAGTTGTATCCAAATTAATAATTTCCCTAAACATATAATTAGAACAGTACCGATTTTAAGCCAGTAGTTGTTTTCTCCCAATGTTACTCTGTGTTTTTCATGTTAATGGTGTGTCGCTCTGTTACAATATCCCTGACTCGAGGCATTTCCACTGAAAGATTGACCAAATTTTCTCGAAAACAATCAGTCAAGGAGATTATTGTGATTTATTGAAATACTTAATGCCCCTAGGTTTACACATAGAACAAAACCGCCCATTTTCGAACGCTTTCTTTTAGACGAGGTCTTTATCGCCGACAAGGTGAAGCGTCTCTCAATCTGCCCATCTCGAATGAAACAACTCCAATCGCTTTTCGAGGCGTCTTCAGATTGGTCTTTGTAAGTTTACAGTTGTGTTTGTGTAAATACACGAGTTTTGCGGCTCTACCTATAACCCCCTAGTGACTTGGTAATTCGCGTGAAGCCCAGATAACACATAAGTTAACTGATTTCATTTGAATCGGTTCGTTCGAAACTTGGGCCCGTAGCCAACCGGTGAGTATGACATTTTAGTCAACAGCGTTGTTCCGTTGTCATATTGTAAAACTTTCAGCTTACAATATTGGAATTTTAGATGTGCAAACTTGCACGCCCATAACTCGAATAGCATTAGACGGGTCCTAAGGTGGAGTTTTTTCCTAGCAAAGAACGGCCAACGGTAGCAGAGAAATGAGTTTGTCTCTGGTTATTCCGGTTGTTCTTATGCTGCATACCAAAACCTGACATGAGGCCCACAAGTAAACATTAATTTGTTGAAACATGAACTCCTGTCAGGGTCACTGTGTTAGTAGAAATGGCCTTTCGTCAGGTTAGCACATTGTCTGTGGCATACGCGGAACTTTGAGATCAGACCACGACGACGTTTGCATGGTGATTTTGTTACGCGGTAAGCTAACGGGTCGGAAGCAGTCCGTGAGAGCCAAGGCGTAGGATGCAGAGTAGGAGTTGGAAATTCGCGCAGTAATCATCTGTGAAGCAATCTATACCTGCGTGTGAGCAATGCGGAATGAGGATCAGTGACGTGTGCGAATAAGAAAAGTGTCCTTCTCAATCGGAACCCCAGAATGCCTCTTGTTTGGACAAATGTACCACCAACAAAATATTTGGTTTACTTTCCCTAGTGGTATCTAGTGCACAACACTGTGTGAAAATTTAGCAAAAGTTGTCTTTTGACGTCGAATGTTCACAAAATTTTCATTAACACAATTCCATCTAAGTCCCTAGTATGTTACTAAGGAGGACGTGAATGTAAGTCATTATTCTTTACACTAATGCGTCACGAGTGATGTTGCACAGAATGAAAATAGGAAATAACATTGGATGTGCTATAAACTTGCTGCCAGTGCCTTTTTTCAACGGAGGTTGACAATAGTTCACTACTGCCCATCAAGTAAGGTACTTCTTTCTACAATGATGTTGACCGTTCAAATATTGAAACCCGGTGCAAACCATAGCAGAAATTGGGGAGCGACCGAATCTATATAGCGCTACTATGAAATTGAGCCGAAAGTGGGTTGAAGCGTCACGTGACTTATCCACACGATCACGGGAGTTGTTCAGGAAACGATGGTCATTTTCAAGGAAATCGGCTATCACCAGCTAGGTAGCAAGCCGTAACTCACGCTTTTTCGTATAGCTTGTCAGTTCTTACGTTGGTTCACAATGAAGATCGTCGTCTGTTGGTAACTTGGTCTGTAGGGCATGAGCACCCTCTAAAGTACCTTGTCTAGACTACTATCCAAGCTACTGAAATGCGAAATCGCAATTTAGAGTCAGACACAACAGTGAGTAAGACAAAACACTTGGAAGAACGAAGTGAGGTTTCATACTTTTTTCCTTGTCTAGTTGGATATCTGAGGCCAAGTATATCTACTCGGTGTGGAGAAACCTTCAGAAGCCACCGAAACCGATGTCGCGCGAATGCTCCTCCAGTCACTTTCACAGCGCTAGCGGCAGTGAAGCAGAGCTGAGCCCGCTGATGGCCAACCCGAGGAAGTCTAAGTAAGGAATTACCCCTTTACACTGTGTTCGCACTCGGCCCCAAAAAATATTGCATTGGTGGCCTATTTTCTTTAATCCTTCTTTCTTACCAATCCTCCCCCACTAAGCCATGGAATTCGGAACTTAAGAGGCCCTCGAGATTTGCATGGATTTAAAATGCACCTCGGACAGCTGGGTGGTCCCTTGGAGTAACTACTCCGGGGTTCTCCATATGTGTGCTTGATGAGACTGTGCTGAGAGAAGGGGCTTCTGAGATTCTCCACGCGGCTGGGTCCCATCTCAGTCGCTAATTCGAACACTGCGGTCCAGGTCCCCCTGTTTGCGGCTGCACAAAAAACCGGCTGCTAGAGTTTGGCTTCAGTAAACTTTACAAATTAACCTTGAGGGACTGTAGGAGTAGCCTAAATTGTTCGCGCTTACTAATAGTTGCTAAATTTCACACGTGGACAACTCGGCTTTCATTGGTAGGAAATTCATCCTGTTTACCGGTCCATGGTACAATATGTTTCCGTTGAAAGCTCGGTGGTTGTACAAGAGAATTACCACTAAGGTTAGTTAGCAAGTTAGCGTAAGTCGAATTAATTTTCAACACATTTGACCTAATGCGATTTGCCAACGGGGGAATAACCGACCAGAAGTGAAATTTGAAGCAGATGAGAATTTGATGCCGTGAGAATGATAAATTTTTGGTCGTTACCGGGTGAAAGCGAATTTATGCAAAAAATTGTCACACATGATCATTTATTATGATGGACACCGCACTTTGGTTTCAACAAGTTTTGTTTCATTTGTCCGTGCATCCTTGCACGGAAGGCAGTTAAACAAGACGTGGGCTGTTGGTGCTTCATGACCACCCTGGCCACTGGTGTCATGTGTCCCAATAAGTTCAAAGTCTATATTCATTTAGGTCTACAACAAGGCAAGTGAACAAACTTCCAAATCCTGCCATCCCCGATGAGTCAATCGCGGAATTGACGTCGCTTTATGATGAGGTTTTCGTTAACTCTTCAAAGGGTCGACAATCAGAAATCTTTAGTAGAACAGAAGTGGAAAGGAAGGGACTTGGTTTAGGATGCAACGAAAAGGAATACAGACCCATACCAATGTATCGCCAGTTTGCCATCCTTGCTAGCCGTGGATTTCTGGACACAATGAGGTGAGTCCGTGGTAGTTTATGTCTGTCACGAACAAACCGCCTTGGTTGCTACCCCTCGCATTCACTTTAAGAAATCCGAATGGAGCTGCCGTCCACTTTATCGGAGTCGCCCTATTCACCCTTCTCCTCGGGACCGTCTACTACCAGATGGGCTTCTCTAGCGAAGCCGGCATCCAAAATCGGGCCGGTTTGTTTTACTTCCTTTGTTTGGAGCTGGCTTATTTCAACGGCAATTGTGTTGACATTTTCGTCAAAGACTGGGCAAAGTTCAAGTATGTCTGAGTTTTTTACACAATTACCTCCTGTTTGATCGAGAACTTAAGTAATGCGACCTTCTTCTGCTTCAGGCACGAGCGTGCATGTGGCTTCTACCAGACGTCAACGTACTTCCTGGCCAAGGTGTTGTGCGAGGTGCTGCCGGTCAAGTTGGGTCCGATTTTGCTGTTCTTCCCGATGCTCTACGGAGTGACGGGTCTGCGAAGGGAAGTGGGTGCCCTGCTTTTCTGGGAGCTCTCCTGCCTCTGCATGGGCACGGCTGCGGCTGCCATTGTCACCTTTTCCACTGTACTTTTCAACCACGTAGCACTGGGTTATGCAGTCGGAGGAATTATGCTATCGTTTATGATGGTAAGCACTTTCGCCCAGGCACACTTTTTTTTCCGCAGAAGACGAGTAGTGCTATGTGTAAAAGGCTTCGCTGTGCGATAAGGTCACAGCTTCCTCCATATTTGAGCAGCATCTTGACCAAAGTTAGATTTGAAGTTTAGTACTGCTGTAACTCGCTGCATCCAACTTCATGAAATTTGATTGACTGTTTAGCCTACAATTATCTAGAGAGACGTGGCAAGCACTGTTCCAAACTGTAATTGTGAATGACAGCAACTGCCTTGTCTCAGTTTAGCTTGGCACTGAATTTGTGCTGTTGAAATATACCCGTGTCTGAGGCACGTCAGTAAAAAGCCCCCCAAACAACCAGCCTGTTGTTGGTAGCGTTTAATTCACCAAGTGTCAAGAATCCCGCCTTGACGACACCAAAAGGTGATGCATTAGTCAATTCACTGGACCGCCATTTGCGGCGGAGGTGCCCGGAGGAATTATTGACGCGCCATTCTGGTGTTTAGCCGAAGCTCCCTAAACGCGTCACTCGCACTGAACGTTTGCTCTGGGTTTGGTTTTGTTGGCAGTGGTGATGGTCGTTAAACCCTTCCAGTTCATCTCCCTGATGTTCATTGGACAAAATTTTAAACGCGAATGACCGATATCAGCAGAATTAAATCACTATGATGGTAAAAATTTAATTTCAAAATCGTCTCCGTTTGTGCCAGACTTTTGGTGGATTTTTGTTGAACGTTGTGTCGGCCTGGTGGTTGGGATGGTGCCGATACTTATCAATTTTCTGGTACACCTTCTCGGCAATGTCTATCAATGAAATGAAAGGAATGCAATTCTGTTCAAAAGTGAAAGCTTTCGCTGACAACAGAAAACACACGAGTCCCTTCGCTGAAAGCAACTTTACCGTGGGTCCTGCCTGGTAGGTTTCATTTTAACATTGCTACTTTAATTCTGAAAGTATGCACTAAGTTTACTTTTTATTTTCAGCGTAGGTGGCGATGACTTCTTACATTCTCGGGGAATGGTTTTTAGCAATGTGTGGCACGTCTGGAGCAATGTATTTGGATTGCTCATAATTTCGTTCTTGGCTTTCTTCCTCTCATATGTCCGCCTTCGATTCACTAAAAACTATTGAGAATAACTACTCAGATTTTCGGATTTCTTTTGTGTTCAATGCATTTCACGATTGCATCTGCACAATTTAATTTTGTTACCACATTTGCGTACATTGGTATTGGTTTAATAAAAAGTGGCTTAATTCGTATAAATGTGAGGACATCGTTACTGAGGGTAGGCTGTTTACGAATAAATCGTTATAAAAATATATTTAACTTTACAGAGGAAACAGTTTTCTTTTGAGTTCGAAGGCATAAATATAGCCGTGGTGGAGCGTATTTTTCTATAAATTGATAGTCTGTTTGAGTGACAATGCTAAGCAGGCACATAGGCAATGTAAGGTATGTTAGCAGTAAGCGAATGTTTCACACAGTTATTAAAACTGGATGGGTAAACCAAATTATTTCCCTTTTATTAACCAGCTAATTGAATAGTCTCATCACTTGGGGACCTAGAGGATGCCTATAAATGTTCGATATCTCGAAGAAGCGATTTACACGTGTGTTTAATACATTGTACATAATCCCTTGTCTCAATCACAAATTTTCTACAAAATAATTTGAGAAATATATTTTTTGTTTATGGCGGACGCCTTTTTAATCAAAATCGTCTACAACAACAAACAAACAGATGGCTTTCACTTCTGATAGGACCTGGCTGAGTAAATCTATTATTGATTGTTGGTACTCATTCTGGGCTGTTGCTAATGATTATTCGTCATGAAAGTTGAAAACTAGGAATTCACATTGAAGCGTTTCGGACCTCACAAGAACATCGAAATGTGAACAAAATTTTTGCAGAATTGGCATTAACGGTGGCTCCCAATCCACTGAGAGCTGTGAAAATGCAGGTTAACGGCGCAGCCAGAACTTACAGATGAAGTGTTCTGATAAAACTTTGAATTACATATTATTTAGAAATCATGAGCATGTGCCTTGCGGAGGAGTCTTAGTATCGTGATAGTACCACCTTTTTTACGTCATACTTAACACCGACGGTAACCATGCTCTCCTAACCAATGAGATTGCGCCAGTAAAGTTGCCAATCGATTTGCTCAGACCACTGGTTTGACAAGGCTGATTTGGCAAAGCCTCACTGTGGGCTTTGTACTGCGACTACACGGGCACTAACCAAAAGGCTAAGATTAGGTGTGGAATTACTACTTGTATTAAAATTTATGTGTTCAGTGATTGTTTGCGTTGTGTCAAGACACATTGATATGCTCAACTCACTGAGGGAAAATGAAAACCTTTCAACGACACGCTTAGGTGTAGAACAAGCTGTAAAATTTGGATGTTTTTGGTTCAAAGTAGCGGCTGTTTTTACAACTGCAGAAACTTAAAAAATATGTGAAATGCACCTGTAAAGGAAAGGGAACTTGTCAAACATTAAAATGTTCACATGAGCGTAAAACATGGACAAATAACAATTTTGAAAGGTTCTATAGTTAATCTCCTTTGCATAAAATCAGACTTAGTATCAAACAACATCACGGTAAGCTCGGACTCGAAGTACCGGTGGTGCGCGTGGTGTAAAGTCGAGCAACATGACGCACAAAAACGCACTGCTTTCCAGAATACCCCTGGTGGCAAGACGATCTTAGAGTTGCCACTCGCTTGGGTGATGACTGATAAAGCATGAAGCCAACTTGCTGCCAACATTGAGGCAAAAGGCTCCACCCTGCGAGGGTGTGAGCGTGAGCCTTCATCGACCTGCCAGCTGGTACCACACCCAGGCAGGACACGGTGCGTGCCACTGTGTGAGCAGTCGCGTTTGCATAAATTAGATCCAAAGCGAGAACACGAGGCCATTAAAATCCTGTTTTTGTCAACGTCACCTGCTTCGCTATATTTTGGCTCAATTGCTTAAATAAACACATCAAGGTCAGATAAGGCAGTGGCAACTGATGTAGCTAGGGTTGTTATCGGCGTTGAAGGAGTTATGTGTCCAAAATAATAGATATGAACCAAATGACGGGAGGTTAGAGTGAAACACTCAATGTGGCTGAACGCGTGGGGCAAGCGAAACCAATAAAATGACAGGAATGGCGAGTAACAACCAATCAGGGTTAGGGCTTTTAATCAGTGTCATGATAAGAGGCTAAGAAATGGCAGTGATGGAGATTAGGGATTTGGAGCCTCACTACGAAACCTATGGTCTAACTACTACACTATTCCTCGTTTCTTGCCTAAGGACTTGGAATTTCCCCAAAATGTGCCACGGGTTTCAGTTTTCTGACGCCCTAACACGTGGACCATCAATGATGGATCCTCACAGACAACTATTACACCCACTTCGTCAATGTGACATTTCAGAGTTGACACTCACATAGAGGAAAGTACAAAGGTGTTCAGTGCCAATGACATTTTGAGTCCAGACCAGTTTTACAGCTCAGTTGACCCGGAAGAAAAAGCGCAAATCACAACACACACGCTCTTGGCTCAAAGATACGGTGTTGTTATTGAACTTACGCGTTCAATACGCCTAACTGGGTTGCATGGTTGCTACCCCAAACTTCAAAGAGCATCCGGGGATTTCTGAATGATCCGCTATGTAGTTTTGGGTTTTGCACTAAATAGTGCTCACCACCGAAGCAACTCAGATGATAGATCAAACATAACTTTTCACTATAACGCTTTCGCTGTTTAGTAATGAATTAATATCTTACAACACAAAATCTATTGACTGTTTCCACGCATTTATGGTGATTTTCAGATTACCGGAATAATTAAACTTCCCACGTCTACATAATTTCAAATAGTTTCTATTGGCGACCTACAAATATCACCAATTCACATAAATTACAAAGAGACTTTTCAACCAAACGCTGCCCTGTGGTTCGTGTAAAAGGTGTGCACAGTGAGATTTTACCACCTGTGCATTTCAATTTAAATGCCGAGATCTCGCTATTTCATAGTGCATGCACTCACCACGAGAAATACACGTAGTCATTGCTGCTGAAGCTTCTCATGAACATGACGCCATCCCACTGCCCATGATTCCGGCTCCTGACTAACTCACCAACTCATCAACAGTCCGTGGTGCACATTAGAAGAAAGCTTTATTTTTCGACTTCTCTGGCAAATAGATCTGCACTATCATTTTGATATTTCCTGAATGCCATAAGGTGGCAGGTT